AAAAAAAAAAAAAAAAAAAAAAAAAACCTAGATAAATACACAAACCAGCACAGTATAGTAGTCTGTGTTAGGACACGGAAGCACAAAGTGCTACATTACACAAGACAAAAACACCCAACCTGCCCTTGAGAGGTCAGAGAAGATTTCTGGAAGAAGGTAAGGATAGGCTAAGGCCCAAGTCATGAGTAACTTGGCCTAGGACACAGGTTGTTTCAGCTTTGGTCCCAGCATGACAGAAGGCCTGGACCGGAAACTGTGGCCTTCAGCAAACCGAGACAGTATGGCTGGTGCATGGAGCACGTGTGTGCGTGCGGCTGGGGGAGGGGTGGGGTGAAGGCACAGCCAGATCCTTAAGAGCCCTACCTTGGAGTATTTAAAGGAATCTGCATTTATGGCAAGAACAATGAGGAGCCAGTGAGGGGATTTAAAGAATGACATCATTTAATTTGCTGCAAGTAAATGTGGCAGTATTCTAACTTTTTTTTCCCCCATTTTTGGTACTGGGGATTCATTGCAGGGCCTCAAGCATCTAGGAAGCTACATCCCCAGTCCTCTGCATTTATTTGAGACAGGGTCTTGCTAAGTTGCCCAAAACCAAGCTCAAACTTGCAATACTCGTGTCTTGGTGGATTTGCCACCACACTCTGCCCAGTCCTTATCTCTTTTTCTTTGAACTATTCATTTTCTTGTTTGTTTTGTTGTGTTTTGAAACAGGGTCCTGCTCTATAATGCAGGCTGGCCTTGAACTTGCAGCAATCCTGACTGCTGGGATTACAGGCATGCACCATACCTGGCTAGACTATTCAATATGTCCCTAACTTCTACCCTCTACATCTGCTTTACATAATAAAGTAGCCAACAGTCACATGTGGCCATCTAAATTTATGTTTAGGGGCTGGGGATTTAGCTCAGCGGCAAAAGCGCCTGTCTGGCAAGCGCAAGGTCGTGAGTTCGGTTCCCGGTACCGGAGAAAAACCAAAAAAATAAAAATAAATAAATAAATAAATAAATAAATAAATTTATGTTTAGACTAAGACTCAATAAAATTTTAAATTCAGCTCTGAGCCACGTTTCAAGAGCTCAACAGCCAAATGTGGTGAACGCCCCCTTCTAAACACCACAGGTTAGGAGCATTCCATAAATGGAAGATGGTGGAGTGGCGAATACCAGAAAAACAGCCTCTCTGAGATTTGGTGTCCAGATGCTGGAATATAGCAACATGAGGAAGAGGAGAAGGAGGAAAGTAGATCCTGGGACCCAGTCAGGATCTGAATCGAGAACTGAAGCCCACAGGGAGACTGAAGAGACTTCAACGCAGAAAAAGGAGGTTGCAAGCAGCACTTTCCCACTGAACTCTCACTGCATGGGAGGAGCAGCTCAAACCCCCAGACACACAGTGACTACTGGCAACTCCAGAGGTCCCCATTTAGAAACACACCAGTGGAAGACAGCAGTGGACACAGTGGACCGCAGTGGCTGGTAAGTTATTTGGGTTCAGATGCCCCCCACAAGAGGGCAACTGGTTGGTAGCCATATTGGAGAGGGGCCAATTGAGCTTGGAACACAGAGCAGCTACAGACTGGCTCCATCTAGCAGCTCCCCATGTTAAGGTGAGGTGGAACTCAGTTGAAGTCACCAGAAGGTCAAGGAGCCAAGTTCAAGGGCCAGGGATATAGCTCAGTGGCACAAGCACCTGCCTGGCAAGTACAAGGTCCTGAGTTCGATTCCTGGACACACACACCCCCCCCCGCCCACCAACAAAAAGGAGCTGAGTTCAAGCAAGCAGGAGACATGCTGGGCATGGCAGGCCAAACAAATCGGGGGGTTTAACCTCACAGCTAGGAACCAGCCTGAATTTCAGTGGAACTAAAGGTGCAGGCTTCCTGGGATTATCCACAACCCCACCATAAATCTACACCCGGCTTGCTAGGATTAATCAACATTGATCTGCGCTCTGTCTGTCCACTCTGTCTACCAGTGACAGCAGAGACATGCCCTGAAGTAGAATTTATTTTCTGCTTTTCTTTTGGTTTTTTTTTTTTCCTCTTTTTTTCTTGATTGTTTGCTCTTGTTTATATATGAATGTGACATACTTTCTAGTTTTTTACTGTTGTTGTTTTGTTCTCTTGCTTTTATGTCTTCCTTCTCTCTTTCCCTCCTGCCTTATTTACCCATTTCACAAAGTTCGTGTAATATTCCTTTCTCCTCTACCCTTGCTTCTAATCTTATCCTCTTCTATTTCTCTATTTTTTTCCCCAACCCCTTTTAAATTTTCTTCTCTGAGGGTAAATTGTCATACTGAGGGTATATTTACTGTATACAATTTTGGGATTTGTTTTAGATTTTGTTACATAACCGCAAATATAGTTCATACAGTTAAAAGTGGCATATTAATATTTACCACAGTTAGTCATTTCCTAGGCTATGTTTGATACTATTGTTATCGATGACTGTACTCCTTTAGCCAAGGTGACATTATTGTTCTGATCAGCTGTTCTTCCTGGTATGCCAAGATGAGACTGCTTATGGGTCATAAACAACACTATAGCCCAGTACCAAAGAACCAGGGGCTAGGTAAAATAGGCAGCAACTTCTCATTCCCAATAAATTGAAGAGGTAGGACCTTACAACAGACTCAAAACCCCAAAGCCAGCTACACCTGGAAGACATCTCTAAGAAGTAGTTATTTCCTAAGGATTCTCAATACTAGCAATAAAGCTACCTGCCATAAGCAATTTACAAGCATCAACCCAGGAATCAAACTAAAAAAAAAAAAAAAAAAAAAAAAAAAAAAAAATAGAAAATAAGAAGACATTTAAACAAGGTACAACCCCAGACTTCCAGCTCACCAAAGCTCACCAAAAAATCTACACCAAGGCATAATAGTCAAGATTCCAGAAATTCGACATAAGAACAGAATACTTAAAGCTGTTAGAGAAAAGAAACAAATCACCTATAAAGGAAAGCCTATCAGAATCACAGTATACTCCTCAATACAAACCCTCAAGTCAAGGACAGCTTGCAGTGAAGTATTTTAGGCCCTAAAAGGAAACAACCTCCAATGCAGATTCATGCACCCTACAAAA